AAAGAGAGAAAATAAAGGTTAAAAACTCAATCTAAATGTGGAAAAGGTTAGAAAGGCAGTGAAATCAACTCCCCTCCCCACCCAACAAAATTCTCGCTGAAAAGTATGAGCTCTCATAAAATTCCATGTAAAGAAAAAAATAATTTCAGTTTCTACTTTGGTAAATTAAGCTATAATGTAAGTACAACAAATGAAATACCAATTTTTCATTAAATCCCACCTTGGATATAAGCGTGCTTCCATCAGCACATCTGCAGTCACATCACATATAAATTGTGCGAGAAAAAGCAACATTGGATGAGTATATTAACAGTTCGCTAGTTTTCTAAGTCCTTGTCCATGCTAATTCTACACTATTTAAGAAATTGCAAATTAAATGATGATTGTATTTACCGATTTTTGCAATTCTAACTGATCAATTTAATCATTGAAAACCCAATATCAAATAATGGGTTTTTGCTAATTCCACATAAGAGTAATAATCAGATTAATATGAATTACCAGAAAAGATAAGTATCTTAATAAGATGCCTTCTCTGTGCTAATTTTGCGAAGCTGCCTCAACACATCAGCAAAATCTGAAGGAGGTGGGCATGAAAAGTGTACATTCTCACCTGTATATGGGTGCTGGAAACTACAAAAGAAAAGAGCAGTAGTAAATAATCATTTCAATTTCCAGTTACCATGAAAGAGGCGAAGATTGTAGGCTGAGATTCGGCTTCTAACCCAAGAGACAAAGCATGAAGGCAAGGCCGCTCTAATCCAGAAATCAGTTCTGAAAGTTCACCATGATAGCTGGGTGAGGTTCTAGGCCGCAGCAATGACAAGGCCATGTTCTTTGTCCCTCCATATACCTCATCACCCAATAAAGGAATTCCTGTGTACTTTGCATGTGCACGAATCTATTTCAAAGAGACAGTGTAAATCAAAACAGACAGTAACATTTTTTTTAGGAATCAAAAGATTACATATTAAGTTGGACTTTGAAATGAACAAAAGGTGGAGGCCAGAGTTAACCTATCAAAACTTGAATGCCAATTGGACAGTTTAACTTCTCATATATAAGTTTTAATTACATTATTTGGCCAAAAAGTTTTAAATTAGATCCTATATGCTTCAAAATACATTAGACTCTCCATTCATCCATCTTGCTTTAGCATCACGGATAACAAAATACAAGATCAAGATAAAACATCCCTGATGTTAACTAACCAAGATATATGTAAGTGTCAACAGCAATGGATATGGAATGTTATCTTTTGGAAATTTATGACTTAATAAGCTAATAATAAAAGGAGACAGAAAACAACACTTATGCTCCAGAATAAAAAGGAAAGGGAAAACAAGACTAATGCCC